GTAAAGAAGAGCAAGGCAACTGAAACTTTTGTTAGAAATGTTTTGAGGGGGCAGCAATCTATTTCGACTCATGATTTAGAGGAGAGGTTAGAAGAAGAAGGCAATGATTATACCTCTTCAAAGAAGTTCAGAATTTGCTTAATGTGGTTCGTCCATTCTATCCTAATGGCTTGTGACTCAACGAAAGCCGTTAATCTCGATTAGGTGCAATTTGCAAGTAATAAGGAGTTTTTTAATTCTTATCTGTGGGGAAGGTTATCACTCTAGTTAACCATTGATTCCCTGTGAGGAAAAGATATGGCAATAAAACACCGCCGATATGTCGAGAAGGAGAAAACGAGCACTTACAATTTGTTTGGCTTTCCATGGGTAATACAGGTAAATATTAATAGGATTTTTTTATATTTTTTGTATTATATGTGTTTTCAATTTGATATGGATTATTTTTTTACAATGTAAACTTGGTTGTATGAGGCTATCCATGTCTTGGCTAAGGTTGGGGGGGGGGGGGGGGGGGGGGGGGGGGGGGGGGAAGGAGATGATAGATGAGCCATTGCAATTTCCTAGGATGTTGCAGTGGCATATCGAGAAGAGCGCCCATTGGGACTATGACAAAATTGAAGTGGAAATTCAAGTGGCTCAGGTAAGATTAAATGATTTGTGTTTTGAATATGTACTTGTTTTTAAATATCACTTAAATTTGATTAATTTTTTTTCTTATTGTAGGGAGTTGTCCATCCATTCATCACTCTTACTAGGGGGTGAATTGGAAGTAGATTATGTTACTTTGTTCGTACCATTGGACAAGGTTTCTGATGAGGAGATAGATGGGTTAATGCAGGACCTAGAAGGGATCACACATGTGAATATAGCTACAGGGCTGCTTGTCGAGCATGTGTTTGAGGTTGAAGCTTTAGTAGGCAGGACAAAGCAGGATGAAGACATGGATGCTCAAGTTCGAACGCCTCCTCCCAATTGGCAAACACGTACAACAAGTACTAATTTGCCAAGGCATTTGCAGAATGAGTTGGTTAACCTCACAAATGGCGTAGACTGCAAGTTTGACAGTTTTAGCACCACCGTTTTGTAAGAAGTTTGATAAAATGGAAGAGAGTACACAAAGGGTGAAAGAGAAACTTGATGCGGTTTTAGAAATGGTTGAAGTGCAACCTAAGAAAAGAGAGAGCTGAAAGAGCAAGCATGTGAAATCTCCATTCACGGAAATAAGGTATGAAAAAAAAAATGGGAGAACTAAGAAAGATAAAGAGCAAGTCGGTGGAAGTGGAGAAGAGAAAGAGGATGATAATAAGGAGGGAGGCGAAGCAGGTGGGGAAGTTGAATTAAAGGATTTAAAGGTTGATTTGCTTAAGCCAATAGATGAGGAACATAAAAAATTATTTTATGCCTATTACAATGATGAAGGAAGTGACGTTCGTGTAAACTGCAAGACTGGGGATTATCCCCAGGAGTGATTTGATAAGATGTTGAGAATGAGCTATTAGCTTGATGACTCAGTGAGTTATTTTCCCGTATTTTTCCTTGTTTTTGCTTATGTTTCCCATCAGGTATTTTGTGATCACTTAAGCGGTCTGTTTTTTCTAATAGATCGCTTGTGTTTGGCAAGGCACTTATCATGTTGTAGTGATTTGATGCTGCATATCAATGAGGTATTGACATTGATGAGGGTGCGACAAAGCACTAATGGTGATAATTTTTATCAGCACTGTGTCATCACCGATGTGTCCTTTGGCCAAAGTCTAGTGAGTATATATGAGACATTAGTGAAAAAGGCCAATGATGGAGGTGCAACAAAGGGAGGCAAGCGAAAAAGAATGGTCATAAAGGAGTTTGATGGTGTCTTTGCTGATTATTGGTTTGATGAGGGGATGATGCGGTATGTGAGGGGGGAAAGGCCTAAATATGGCAATAGTTGGGCAAAGGTGAAAAAGGTATATTGCATCGTGAACATCAAGCAGATACATTGAATAACCGTCATTTGGCTACTAAAGGAGGGCTTGTTGCAGAGTATTTGTCGGGAGAAAGAGCTAGACATGACGATGTAGCTACATGTAAGTTATTCCCGCGGTTGTTGTAAGACAGTAGCATGTTTGAGCACTTGGGTTATGAACAACTGACGGGAAAATGGCCACACAAGCACTTAGGTTATGAACTACTGACGAGAAAGTGGCCACACAAGCATGTTCTTGTTCTAACTAATGACACGAGTAAATTGTGTATAAAACTTACATTGTTCTATAATCTGATTCTAATAGTAATGTCTTCCTCATATTGTAGTGTTGATTGGGGGGTATATGCACTCAAACTTCTTGAGTTCGACATGACTAACACCCCAATGGACAACTTGAATGATGATACAATGAGCAACTTTTGGGAGTGCTTGGCAGTTGAGTGCTTTCACAGTTAGATGGATCCCCTAGTTACTACAGACTCTACTTAAGTGGTAGGTTGTTTATTTCTTTTATACTATTGGTTTGAGCAACAACACTGAAGTTTGATACTTGCCATTCATATTAAATTTCAGTTTCTGATCTATTTTTGTGTATATGGTTTGAACTCCATAGATTTAACCTCTTTTGTTCTCATTTAGAAATTGCACTTCTTCATCTATTTTAGTCATTTGGGGCCTCCTTGAAGAAGAACAACTGCGAAAAAAGAAGAGAGAGTGAAAGACCCAAAGCTAGAAGTTACTAGCAAAGCTTCATGGGCACAAGAAGATATGCTTGTGATCATTAATCTGTTTTTAAAGTTCCTTTTATTTTTAGACTCTATTTGGCTTTGAGGAACGAGAGAAATTGACAAATGTGTACCAGTTCCTTGCATGGTTTATGGATATAATGTAGGCATGGATATAATGTACCAGTTCTTTTATTTTGTGTTTGTTGGTGATGTTGTAGGCATGGAACACTGAGTCATCAGCTCAGTTTGGCCTTAATGAACCAGTCGGCCAAGTCTATTGTGTGGTTATTACTAATGAAATGTTGTTTGCTGCGGCACAGGTAACTTGAACAATTTACATTATTTTCTGCAATGGATATGGTTTTAGTGTTTTTAATGTTATACAAATTCTGTTGATGGCTGTTAGGATTGTGAAGCATGTCATGTAAATTATCCACCTTTTGATTGACCAGAACCCAATCCAAGTCATTATTGATGTTGTCATCAACAAGTATGGAAGTTGGACTTATAGTTTTGTAGTGAATTTGAATTGCATTTCTTATACGGATAATGGAGTTGTCTTGAATTGAATCAGTTGGTGTTGTTAGACGTCAAGCTGTTGATATTTCTCCATTGAGACATGTGAACCAGGCCACCTATCTTCTTACTATTGGTGCTCGTGAATTAGGATTTAAGAACATCAAGACTATTGCAAAATGCCTAGCTGATGAACTTATTAATGCTGCAAAGGGTTCCTCTAATAGGTAGATGATGTTCCGTTTACTTGTTCACTAGTTTCTCTTGTCTGTATGTCAAACTTTTATGGTGCATTAAACTGATTTTATGTTCTTGTATTTCCAGCTATGCCATCAAACAAAAGGATGTAATCGAGAGAGTTGCCAAGGCCAACCGTTGAAGACTTATTAGTGAATTAGAAAACAATTTTAATGGTGTTGACAAGTACTTTATGATATTACCTTTTCGTCTCATGGACTTGTTATGAATGCTTTGTTGTTTTCAAATTTTTATGTTGACAATTCGATATCTTTTTGTTTGAAGTTTTGAATAAATGATATTAAGGGTGCTTTTAGTTACTTAATAGTTGCTCTAATTGTGCTACTAAATTCATTCAATAGTGAGATGTGTGTGGAGAATTAACAAAAATTGCTCTTTCACAATTAAGATTTAACTCTTAAATTCAAAAAATGAGAGTAATATTGGATGTTTCCAAAACCAAGAGAGTGAAGTTGTTGTTTCATAATAGATTGGGGTCAAAATGTGATTCGACCTTTTTTTTCTTCCTGAAAAAGAGGTGTGAAAGGTAGGAAGATGAAGAAATGGGGCATAAGAGGACAATTATGATTATGGTTCATAATAGACTCAAATGTGTTGGAGCCACCATTGCCTTTACTAATCTTTTTGCTTTCTTTATCAACCTTATCATAATGCAATTGTTCATAAACTTCCCTCCAAGTTTGTAAAAGTAAAAAAAACCACCTTGATTTTGACCCCATAAATCTTGGGTTGTGGGTTCCTTAAAATCTTTTAAACAATTAGCTTGATCGCTTAAGTGATGTCGGCTATCACTTAAGCGATCAACGGTTATCTATACAGGATCACTTAAGCAAGAGCTGACATCGGTTAAGTGATCATGTACTTAATAAGGATGATTTTTACACAAATTAGCCTTGATCGCTTAAGTGATTAAGGATTACTAGATCGCTTAAGCAAGAGTAGATATCGCTTAAGCGATCATTTACTTGATGAGGATGATTTTGACACAAATTAGCCTTTGTCATTTAAGCGATGTCGGATATCGCTTAAACGATCAAGGGTTATCTCGAAAACCGAGTAGGTGCTTCGTGATCCCTACTCGGTAGTCACTAAGAACGGGTTGGTACTGTGTGAATTCCACCCGATAGTCATGGAGAGTGAGATGGAGCTGTGTGAACGCCATCCAGCTGTACCTCTGGTAAGATGAGGCCATGACGTTTAGTAGAAACAGAAATAGTGTAAGGAAAGAATTAAGAGTAATACATACGGGGATAGACAGATAGAGGGTTTTACTTACTGAGCATTATTTTGTGCTCACCCGTTATTTTCCTTTGTGGATGCAGGATCTAGGTGATGAGGCAATCGAAGGGCGTCGGCAAGCAAGGAGCAATAGCTACACTGTTTCCCCTGTTTTGTCTTTAAAATGACTTTTTGTAAACAATACTCTTTGTGTATAAAAGACATATGACTTATAATGAAAAGAAAGTTTTTGGGCCCAATTTTCTATTGTTATTATGCATGCATTGTATTAGCTTGCAGCAGTTGTTACAATGCTGCACATCAATGAGGTATTGACATTGATGATGGTGCGACAAAGCACTAATGGTGATAATTTTTATCAACACTGTGTCATCACTGATGTGTCCTTTGGCCAAAGCCTAGTGAGTATATATGAGACATTAGAGAAAAAGGCCAATGATGGAGGTGCAAGAAGGGGAGGCAAGCGAAGAAGAATGGTCGTAGAGGAGTTTGATGGTGTCCTTGTTGATTATTGGTTTGATGAAGGGATGATGCAGTATATGAGGGGGGAAATGCCCAAATATGGCAACAGTTGGGCAAAGGTGAAAAAGGTATATTGCATCGTGAGCATCAAGCAAATGCATTGAATAACCGTCATTTGGCTACTAGAGGAGGGCTTGTTGCAGATCTTTGATTGCAACTTGAGTATTTGTCAGGAGAAAGAGTTGGACATGACAATGTAGCTACGTGTAATTTATTCCCATAGTTATTGCAAGACAACGGGATGGTTGAGCACTTGGGTTATGAACAACTGACGGGAAAGTGGCCACATAAGCACTTAGGTTATGAACTACTGACGGGAAAGTGGCCACATAAGCACTTAGGTTATGAACTACTGACGGGAAAGTGGCCACACAAGGGCATTCCCACTCCAACTAATGACGCGAGTAAATTGTGTATAAAACTTACATTGTTCTATAATATGATCCTAATAGTAATGTCTTTCTCATATCGTAGTGCTAATTACGGGGTATATGCACTCAAACTTCTTGAGTTTGACATGACTAACACCCCAATGGATAACTTGAATGATGATACAATTAGCAACTTTCAGGAGCACTTGGCTGTTGAGTGCTTTCACAGTCAAATGGATCCCCTAGTTACTACAGACTCAACTTAGGTGGTAGGTGGTTTATTTCTTTTATACTATGGTTTGAGCAACTACACTGAAGTTTGATACTTGCCATTCATATTAAATTTCAGTTTTTGATCTATTTTTGTGTATATGGTTTGAACTCCATAGATTTAACCTCTTTTGTTCTCATTTAGAAACTACTCTTCTTCATCTATTTTAGTCATTTGGGGCCTCCTTGAAGAAGAACAAGTGTGAAAAAAGAAGAGAGAGTGAAAGAGCCAAAGCTAGAAGTTGCTAGCAAAGCTTCATAGGCACAAGAAGATATGCTTGTGATCACTAATCTGTTTTTAAAGTTCCTTTTATTTTTATACTCTATTTGGCTTTGAGGAAGGAGAGAATTTGACAGATGTGTACCAGTTCCTTGCATGGTTTATGGATATAATGTAGGCATGGATATAATGTACTAGTTCTTTTATTTTGTGTTTGTTGGTGATGTTGTAGGCATGGAACATTGAGTCATTGGCTCAATTTAGCCTTAATGAACCAGTCGACCAACTTTATTGCGTGGTTATTGCTAATGAAATCTTGTTCGCTGGGGCACAAGTAACTTGAACAGTTTACATTATTTTCTGCAATGGATATGGTTTTAGTGTTTTCATTGTTAATACAAATTCTATTGATGGCTGTTAGGATTGTGAAGCATGCCATGTAAATTATCCACCTTTTATTTGACCAGAACCCAATCCAAGTCATTGTTGATGTTGTCATCAACAAGTATGGAAGTTGGACTTATAGTTTTGTAGTTAATTTGAATTGCATTTCTTATATGGATAATTGAGTTGTCTTGAATTGGATCAGCTGGTGTTGTTAGATGTCAAGTTGTTGTTATTTCTCCATTGAGACATGTGAACCAGGCCACCTATCTTTTTACTGTTGGTGCTCGTCAAATCAGCATTTAAGAACATCAAGACTATTGCAAAATGCCTAGCTGATGAACTTATTAATGCTGCAAAGGGTTCCTCTAATAGGTAGATGTTGTTCCGTTTACTTGTTCACTAGTTTCTCTTGCATGTATGTCAATCTTTTGTGGTGCATTAAACTGATTTTATGTTCTTGTATTTCCAGCTATGCCATCAAACAGAAGGATGTAATCGTGAGAGTTGCCAAGGCCAACCGTTGAAGACTTATTAGTGAATCAGAAAACAATTTTAATGGTGTTGACAAGTACTTTATGATATTACCTTTTTCGTCTCATGGACTTTTTTTGAATGCTTTGCTATTTTCAAATTTTTATGTTGACAATTGGATATCTTTTTGTTTGAAGTTTTGAATAGATGATATTGAGGGTGCTTTTAGTTACTCAATTGTTGCTCTTATTGTGCTACTAAATTCATTCAATATTGAGATGTTATATGTGTGTGGAAAATTGACAAAAATTGCTCTTTCACAATTAAGATTTAACTCCTAAATTCAAAAAATGAGAGTAATATTGGATGTTTCCAAAACCAAGAGAGTGAAGTTGTTGTTTCATAATAGATTGGGGTCAAAATGTGATTCGGCCTTTTTTTTCTTCCTGAAAAAGAGGTGTGAAAGGTAGGAAGATGAAGAAACGGGGCACAAGAGGACAATTATGATTATGGTTCATGATAGACTCAAATGTGTTGGAGCCACCATTGCCTTTACTAATCTTTTTGCTTTCTTTATCAACCTTATCATAATGCAATTGTTCATAAACTTCCCTCAAAGTTTTTAAAAGTAAAAAAAACCACCTTGCTTTTGACCCCACAAATCTTGGGTTGTGGGTTCCTTAAAATCTTTTAAACAATTAGCTTGATCGCTTAAGCAATGTCAGCTATCACTTAAGCGATCAACGGTTATCTATAGAGGATCACTTCAGCAAGAGCTGAAATCGCTTAAGTGATCATGTACTTAATAAAGATGATTTTTACACAAATTAGCCTTGATCGCTTAAGTGATGTCGACTATCGCTTAAGTGATCAAGGATTACTAGATCGCTTAAGCAAGAGTAGATATCGCTTAAGCGATCGTTTACTTGATGAGGATGATTTTGACACAAATTAGCCTTTGTCATTTAAGCGATGTTGGATATCGCTTAAGCGATCAAGGGTTATCTATACTGGATCGCTTAAGCGAGAGCTGACATTGGTTAAGCGATCGTGTACTTGATGAGGATGATTTTGACACAAATTGGCTTTTGTCGCTTAAGCGATGTCGGATATCACTTAAGCGATCAAGGGTTATCTATACTGGATTGCTTTAGTGAGAGCTAACATCACTTAAGCGATCGTGTACTTGATGAAGATGATTTTGACAGAAATTGGCCATCATCGCTTAAGTGATGTTGGCTATCGCTTAAGTGATCAAGGATTATTTGTACTAGATCGCTTAAGCGATGTTGGCTATCGCTTAAGCGATCAAGGATTATTTGTACTAGATCGCTTAAGCGAGAGTTGACATCACTTAAGCAACCGTGTACTTGATGAGGATGATTTTGACACAAATTAGCCTTGATTGCTTAAGCAATGTTGGCTATCGCTTAAGTAATCAACGGTTATCTATATTGGATTGCTTAAGCAAGAGCTGACATTGCTTAAGTGATCGTGTACTTGATGAGGATGATTTTGACACAAAGTGGCCTTCGTCGCTTAAGCAATGTTGGCTATTCGCTTAAGCGATCAATTCTGATCTATACTAGATCATTTAAGCGAGAGCTGACGTCGCTTAAGCGATCATGTACTTGATAAGGATGATTTTTACACAAATTAGCCTTGATCGCTTAAGCGATGATGGCTATCGCTTAAGCAATCAAAACTTATCTATACAGGATTACTTAAGCGATCCTATATTTTAGAAGAATTATTTGACAACCTAATTGTATCAACACATATTAAGGCTATTTAAGAATATTACGAACGTTAATTTAAACCTCGGACGTTCATAATATCAAAATATAATAGCTATGATATGTGACTAATAACCCTATGATACATGCAATTTCATAGCACACAAGTATGACACGTTAGTAGAAATGTACCTCATTTCACAAATATGGATGATTATGATTGAATAGACAACTGACTCACATTACAGAATATAATTTCTCACCCAAACATTCACAATATCACAAGATTGAGGAGAAAAGAAGCAAATTGGCCTTGATCGCTTAAGCAATCACAGCTTATCTATTCAAGATCGGTTAAGCAAGCGTTAACATTGCTTAAGCGATTGTGCATTTGTAACGCCCCACTTGAGGTACGTACTTAAGATTTGCTGTATTATTTAAAGATTCACTGTTTCAGCTTCAATTGAGTTTGTATGTTGTTATGATTAGTTGGTTAGCCTTTAATTAAAATGGTATGTTGTATGGGTTAAGTGTTTACCTTGGTTTTGGTTGAAATTTGGTGAATTTTGGAAATCCAATCTTCGCCGAGGCGAAGAAGAAGCTTCGCCGTGGCGATGAGGTGTTGCACCCACGGGTAGGTTCGGCCGTGTTTCGCCGGGGCCATGGAATGTTCTTCGCTGCGGCGAAGAGCCTAATAAAAAGTTTCTTGAGTTTTCTAGAGAATTCTTCCTTTGGGGCATAATGACCAGTCTACCCCTAATTAGTAGGAAAAGTGGGGAGTAAAATGTAAGGAAATTTAGTAGAGAATGTATTGGAAATGAGGGTGTATTTGTAAAGAATCAAAGGATATAGATGGGATTTTAGCGAAAGTGCAAGGGCAAAATGGGAAAGAAAGGTTATAATATGAGCTAAAAAGAGTTAAAGTGTAGAGAAACCCTTTACTCCATCCATTTCCACCTCCTCTTCCATTGTCTAATTTCTCTCAATTTCTCCATCCAATTTTCCCAAGATTTCTAAGGGATTTAAGAGAGCTTTTGAGTAATTTTGAGTAGAGATTTCGTCTAAAGCATCCTAAGGTAAGGATTCTTTCTTTAGATGTGAGTTTTCTTATAGTTATATTGAAGTCTTATTTGATTGTTGCTGTTCTTGTTGTTGTTTTGAGTTGTAGAGAGAAGACAAGACAATAAAGGAAAGGAAAAGTGCTAGAGAAGTCACTTTTTCACAAGGTAAGTAAATCCAACCAAGTTAAGATTTGACTAAGCTTTTGAGTAGAGATGTATGCATGATCAGTATGTAGTATGCTTGATGAGAAATTGAGTTGAGATGAGTAGCTATTTTGTGGTTGTTGGATAGACTCCATGTATGAGAAGTGTTTTAATGTGTATTGAGAAATGGAACTTGAGATGAAGTTGAGAGATGTTGTGTAAACAGATTTGGAAGTGCTTTTCTTGACAGGGATTATGGTTATTTGAGGGAGTTTTCTCCCATTTTAGATGGCTAGAGAATGAAGTGTAGTAGTAATTTTAGTAGAGTGTTTATGTGCACATGAGTTGCTTGATGAAATGCCTAGGTGAAATCTGCTCTGTCACTGCCGTGACTTTCTAAGTGATTTTTAGGCATTTTAACGATTGAACTGGGCTGAGACCAAAACATCAAAGTTGTAGCCCTATTTTTAAGCTTTAAAATGAGACCAAAACCTTAGTAATTCTATGTGTATAACGCAAGTTATGCCCTTTTTAGTGCGACCTGTGCAGAATGACTGTTTTGATGCAATATTGCATTTGGCATTCATTAATGCATTAGTGAGCATGAGTTGTCCGTACACATTTTTCTTATGCACGTAAGAAGTAGCTTGAGACATACTAGAGAATTTTAGTATAAGCTACCTTAAGAGTAAAGAGAAAGAGAGAATGAGCACTAGAGAACGAAGAGAAAAGAGAATAGAGTAGGTTGTGCGATAGGGAACCCGTGAGTAACGGGTAGAGTATTCCCGTATGTACGCCGCATTGAATGAGCAGCATGAGTATAAGATAGAAAAGTGGTGTAGCCCGTGAGAATGCATGCGGATGAGGGCTATACCCGAGTACCCGAAAGAGAGATTATACACTCACATGGCCAAGGGTTCCGAATCCATGCATAACTGAGTCCGATCGGCTAGAAAGAGTAAAAGTCACGTAGAGTGGGAGTGAGTCCTAGCCGTGCTTCGGTAAGATGAGGCCGTGACTACTAAAGAGAGTTAGTAGAAAAGAGTTATGAGAGAGAGAAAGTAGAGAGGGAAGTATAAATAGATAGTAAATGAGAATCGTGAGGAAAGAATTAGAGAGAGAGTTACAGGGTTATACGAGTAGAGGATTTTCTTACTGAGCATTATTTTAGTGCTCACCCCGTTGTTTTTCTATGTTTTTGCAGGATCTAGGTGAGGACACGGTCGGATGGATGTCGGCGCTCAAGGGGAAGCGGTTACACTGTCCACCATGTTTTTGGTGACTTTTGTACATATTATAATTTTATGTAAAAATGTATATGTTTTTAAAGAATATATATATATATAATATATATATATGTTTAATAAAAAGAAAATTTTGGGCCCAATTTCTTTATATTATTTTATATGTATTTCATTATGAGTATTTGAGTAGAAAGTGGCTATTACATTTTTGGTATCAGAGCCAAAATTTTGGGTTTGACAGTGTACCATTCTCGTTGCTACGATGTCTAAGAGCCGACTGTGTAAGTTAATTCTTTCCTTATGTTAAGTGTTTCTTTAAGTTGATCAAGTGTGGTTGTTTTGTAGATGAGACGTAGTACCAGGAGGAAGGGTAAGAGTGTGATGAATGAAAAAGAATCCTCCAACCCACCAGAACCAACTCCCCCTACCCTTGATGAGACGAGGATTCGAGCCATTGTACAACAGGTATTAGCGAAGAGTCAAGGGAGAGATGTTCAGGACAGAACCGAGACTCCCAGTAGAGTACTGCCCCCAAGACAAGAACAAGAAGGGCCAACACCTCAGACAGTACAGACTCGGGCTGACCCGATTTAGGGGCTTGTAAATAAACACTAGCCGCCAGCATTTAGGGGTACAAGGGACCCGCTAGAGGCAGAGGAGTGGTTTAAGTCCGTAGAGCAGACGACGACACTGTTTCCCCTGAATGATAGAGAGAGAATCAGATATGCCAGTTTCTTATTTAAGGGAGATGCCCAAATATGGTGGGAATTAATGGAGGAGACTCATGATATAGCGTCGATGACCTGGGAGGAATTCAAAAGATTGTTTGAGGCCGAGTACCGAACAAAGGATCGAATATATGAGAAAG